TTTAGCCTCCCCTCAAGTCCAAGAAGCTCCACCAATATTGTTTGCACTGTTGAGCTTAGGAGAGCTTAAAGAGTTTTGATGATCACAACATGAGAACAACAACTTGGAGCACAAAAACATAGTCAAAGAAGAGTCAAGAAAATGCTATGAGTTGGAGCTATGTAATAGAACTTAGGAAATAAATTGTTGTGAATGTGTTTCTATATTTTGTGTGCTTAGTATGCTTTGTGCATAATCAAATCTTATCTAAACTAAGTAGAGAGTATATGATGATGAGTTAAGAACATTGGAAAGTTATTTTGAGTCTTAAAATGAAGTTTTAAGAACTAACTCAAAATAATCGATTATTGTTAAATATAATCGATTATTTCAGCAAATAGGCTAAGTGGAATGCCTTGCTGTAATAATCGATTATTTGCCGAAATAATCGATTATCCCAGGAACAACTCTCTGGAATAATCGATTATCCAGCTAAATAATCGATTATATTGTTCTTGGTTGATTTCCAGAAAATCTGAAGAACAAAATAATCGATTATTCTTTAAAATAATCGATTATCTGTGTCTGAAACTTTTATAAATAGTTTGAACTTTGAGAAACTTCAGACATGAGTTAGAACTGATAAACAATTTGTGAAAAACGTTTTTGTGAGTCTTTGTGACATCTTGGAGAGTTTTCTTTGTGAAATCCAAGAGTGAAAACGTTTGTGAAAAGCTTTGATAGAAGATCATCATCATCATATTCTTGAAAGGGGAAGATAAAGATTTGTTCAAGAATTCCAGGTGAATTCGTTCCTTTTATTCTTTGTGAATCTTTGTGGAAAATCTTGAGAAGGGTTTCTCAAGTAATAAGGTTTCTTGTAGTGGGTTCTACAAGGGGTGCTTTCTTGGGGTCAAGAAAGTGGTTATCTTTAGTATAGAAGTATATGCATGTGTGTTTGCTTGTAAACCTTCTTGATTAAAGATAGTGGAACAAATCTTAATCAGGTGTTGATTAAGGACTGGATGTAGGTCACATGTGGAGTGGCTGAACCAGTATAAAAGACTTGTGCAATCTTCTTCAACCTTATCTTTTACTTTGTGTAATTTCTTGGGTGAATTTTAAAGAAGATAAAACTTGATTAACAAGTGTATGTGAATCTTGATGGTTTAAATCTATAATTGAACATTATTGTTGAACCTCATTATGTTGTAATCAAGTGAGCATATTGCATTCATATTTCTCATAACAAGTCTTTAGAAGAGCCTCATTTGGAAATTCTGTCATAGAAAAGTTTTGATTGAAATTAAGATCCAAAATAATCTGATAAATTTTTAAAGGGTCATTGAATCCAATTCACCCCCCCTCTTGGATTGTGCCATTCTTTTCTATCATGCACACCATCTATTAAGAATATGGAATAATCGTTTGGACTTACAGGTATTGGAGCGATCTCGCAAATTATTGAAGAGAGTGTTATAATAATAGATAAAATTGCACTATCTTCTACTAACACTAGTGCAATTGATGTTGAATTGCTGAGTGTGGCCATGACATTGGTGGAGATAGACCCAAGGGGTTTTGAAGATTATGCCTCACAAGTTCCACCTAGTGAGGCCCATGAAGTAATGAGCCTTACTTATGAAGATCTGTAGTTGTTAATGGAAGAGATCACGAATGAAAATGATAGTTCCAACTTCTTCCTCATAGGCGAACTCCTTGAAGATTCATTTACTTCAACTTGGAGGAGTATTTGCATCTTTGTCATGGAGAAGGATAGAAGATTGCCTTTTATCCTTGCATTAAAGAATTGCACCCCTTAATTTGTATGGTCAACATCGTTTGGATGACCAAACTATAAAACTTATCAGACAACTCAAGTTTGAGCATGAAGACACATGTTGCACAAGGGTCACATCGAACTTAGCTATGAAGGGTCATCCCATAACCTCCCCTTGATGATTGGTGCATCTCGATGACGATGTCAGATTTAGCCTTGGACCAAATTTTATCAAGCTAAGTCAAGACTCAAGGTTGGAGAATCTAGAGTTAATAAGGATTATACCATCTTCACCATGAGACGAGGCATTCTGCAATCACCAATCCCTCCACCAACAAAACCCTCTACTTTTAATTCTCTCTGCCATCCACACCACCATTTTGCTTATCCATCGCCTTTTTACTTTCATTTTCTTATTTCTTTACCTATAAATATTTATGCATACATACACTGCACCTTTTGCTATTGTTATGTCTCCACCCACTCTATAGGAAGTGCAAGTGCCACAACCTTCATCTACAAATGTCATTGAAGTACTAGAGAAGATCTCAAAATTGAAGACGATGGTCACTACACTAGTCTTTGCTCTCCAAAGTCCATTCACCAGCAATGTAGCATAAATATCTTGAAGTATGTGGAGTCTCAAATAAAGTCATTTTCGACTATCATGCACAACAATTTCTCTCATTTTGTACCTTAAAGGTGATAAATAGCCTTCTTGATCATATAAGAAATGAAAATTTAGTAAAATGCATTTAATGCTTGCATTTAATGTACTAATGAACATCTTATTCTACAAGAAAGGAAGATGAAGAAAGATGAAACAAGCTTGTGAGAGAAGCTCAAGGATTTGTAATGATCACCTTTATGAAACATCTATGTAAAGAAGTTTAAAGAGTTAGAAAGTTAAGGAGATAGAACAACAATTGTATAATTGCATTCTTTCTATGTAACTCTGAACTTAAATTTTGTCGTATCATATCTTGTGGGTAAGAAGAAATAACAGTGATTACCCATCTTTAACTTTTTGTTTTAACTTAAAGTCTAAAGAGATTTTGTTGTAAAAAATACTTGATTATTGAAATCTATTGAGGCTTCATACTTCAAATAATATTTGAGTAATTGCTTGTGGAAGTAAATAAAAGAATACTTAGATTGAACTAGAATTGACTTGTGAAAGAATACTTGTAACTTTATAAAAAAAAATTGAAATTTGATCGAATTGATCAAGAACTAGACGTAGTCTCGGTGACTGAAATGAAACAATATAAAAATATTTTCTATTGTTTGCTCTTAAACTCTTCATCTACACTGTTAAATCAGATACTACTTCTCAAAAAGTATTAAATTTTCAATTCACATTATTCAACTTTTTTTTTAGTGTGTTTATTTTCTCCACAATATAATCATAAATAAAGGAAAATACCAACATAAACACTCGTTGATTAACGGTTAATAAAAGTTCCTAATTCTATTACATAACAGTTGTTTCTTTTGAATCAAAGGAGAGATATGATCTCATCATCTCAATGTCAACCCATTGAATACAGCGGTAAAACCATATAGTTTGGTCAGCTCATGCAATTTCAATATCTTAAAAGACAATAATTAATCCACTTTTAAGGAACTTTTCAAAAATCAAGGACAAAAAGAACCGACTTGGGGAAGGTCTTATCTGGTTCGATAAAATGACTATTCCACGCACCAAATATTCCTTCCCTTTTTTCCATTTCTATATTTTATGCAAAATAAATATCATAAACCAGCTATTAGAGCATGTTGATAAAAAGTTGTTAATACATGGGAACAAAAACACACCATAACTAATACCAAAAAAACTATAACTTTTACCAATTAAACTTAATTTTATAGTGGTTTACATTCCTTTCCATAAACAAGAGATGAATTATAGTAGTAACGTTACCGGAACTTGTAACTAGTACATTACCTTGAGCTACTGCAAATTATTATAAATTATGAAAATAGAACATTCAATAAAATATATACTAAAATAAATTAAATTTGCTAATAAATGATACTCAAGTTCTTGTCACTAATGACAAAAAAAAATTCATTATTTTCTTTGTAGTCGTCATTAATGATGTCAACACAAATTTATTTGAATGGTTACTATTTTCTTAAGAAAAAAAAAATTAAGTGCAGTTTTTTAAATATGGTTGACAATATTTTTTAATTAGAATTAGAGTCGGTAATAACACTTGTATTTATTGCAAATCTCATTATTTATAATGCATTTATACATATTATTAAAGTAAAACTTCAATTATAATTAAAAAAATAACATCAATCATGCCTAAAGAATTATACTTAAATTTTATTTCTTTTTAATATTTTATTATTAACTTAGCAATAGTTGTATAGTTGTTGTTAATGAGGTCAACACAAATTTATTTATTAGCCAATATGACTCATTATTTAAAATTATGACAACTTGATTATTGCTTAATTTTTTTTTAAATATAAAAAATATTACAAAAGATAATAGGGAACAAACATAAGTCCTCATATATTTATACTATCTTAACCCTTTTACTCTAACTACGTACTAAATTAACCTTGATGGTCAATTGTTACTAAAGTTGTACCTGTCTGAAGGATACACCAATAATCCTCTCGTATTCTGAGGGCCGAACGAGTGCTCCGATCCAATATTCTGGTGTGGGGGAAGTACCTGCAAAAGGCACTCCGACGCTCAAGTCAGGACAAAGCGCAGATATCGATAGCAATTAATGAACAGTGACCTTACCTCGTGACAAGAGCTATTTATACTGACATTTATGGGCCCGGACTTCCATGGGCCCCGTAACAAGATTACCAGATTAGGTAATACGCTCCTAATCGGCTTACGGGTATGCTTAACCCTTAATCCTTAATTATGGGTACATTCTTACCTCTATTAGTAGGAATCTGAGTTCATAGATCACCTGGTAGCCGAACGGCATTCGGCCACCTGGTTCGGTCATTCAGGTGCCGATTGGGTGTCGGCTATCAGGTGGCCGAGTGGCCGAACCAGGTGGCCGAATGGCCTTACTAGTACACTTGCCCCCTAGCCTTGCGTAAGGGTTACCTTTTGCAAGGGTACAAAGATTAAGTGTAGTTGTGGAGGAAGTCGAAAAGTTGGATGGATCTGCAACTTTTTCTTCTATTGACTCCATTCGCTCATCTTCATTCATTCTTGGATCCAAGTCCCATGCCGAGGATTTATCTGCTACCATAGGGTTTACCACGTGAACTCTCCTTGACTTCGATTGGTTTTCTTCCACGGGGTTACTCGCAAACTAGCGAAGTAACATTCTCGAGCTGCCTTTTGATCGGCATGCATTGTAAGAATTTTTCCCTTGTCGGATGGAAATTTCATTGCCAGATGTTGTGTTGAGACAATAGCTCCTAACCTATTCAATGACGGCCGACCGAGGAGAATGTTGTAGGAAGTATTAGCATGTACCACTATGTACTTAACTTGGATTTCCTTGTACTCTTGCTCGTTGACACCGAAGCGAGTGAAAAGCTTAATGTACCCTTTGGTACTGACTCTTTCTCCCGAGAATCCAACCAAGGGATCATCGTATGGCATGAGTTCTTTTTCTGAGATTCCCAACTGCTTGAAGGTATTCCAGTACAAAATGTCGGCCGAACTGCCCTGATCCACCAAGGTTTTCTTGATTATGCAATTGTGGATTTCAACACTAATTACCATTGGATCGTCTTGTATGGGATCGATCCCTTGGAAGTCAGCGTCAGTGAAGGTTATAGCGGGTAATCTTCGAACAGGTTGCCGACTGACCATATTGACCGATCGGACGGCGCGTAAATGCCTCTTTTGCGCCGAAGAGGTTGAACCTCCTCCCGCAAATCCCCCTGCGATGGTGTTGATGACTCGCCTATGGGAAGATGTCGGCTCATCTTTCCTCTCACGTGATCTGCTTCGCTCGCGGCGAGGTCTATCGGCGCGATCTTGCCGAGGTGGGTCATGTCTAGGTTGACGTTGGCGTTGCGAATCAGACCGATCCACAAACTTATGAAGCTGGCCTTGCTTGATTAAATCTTCAATTTTATCTCTGAGGGCCGCACACTCTTCGGTAGAGTGCCCCCTATTGCGATGGTACCGACAAGATTTACTAGTATCGGCGCGCGGTGGCGTGGCAGCTCTTTTTGGGACGGCCAGAACCTCCGATGTTAGAGCTTGTTCAAGAACTGCAGCGCGGCTTGCATTGAGTGGAGTGTAGTGAGTGTACTTCGGACCCCGCGTTGGCCGATCCCGAAGAGTGATCTCCTTACCTCGCCCCCGATAGGATGGTTCCACTGGTTTTTCGGGCTTTCCCGACGGTTCAACTCGGGCTTGATTTCGGAACTCGGCCAACTCCTCCATCTGCATATATTTATCTGCTCTTCTTCGCAGGTCGTTAATATCTGTAGGAGGTTTCTTGCAAAGGCTATTGACGAATGGCCCCGGCTTTAGCGCTGTGGTCAGATGATGAAGCGCTACGGCCGGGTTGAGGTCTCGAATTTCTAGGGCTGCCTTATTGAACCGATCCATGAACGCACGAAGCGTCTCCTTCTTGTCTTGCCGAAGGCTGACTAGTGACAGAGAGGTCAAGCTATGGGGACGGCTTGTCGCGAACTGGATAGTGAACTGTGACGACAAGGTGCTGAAAGAATCGATTGAATTGGGAGGTAGTCGGGTGAACCAACTCAAGGCCCTACCTTTGAGAGACGTTGGGAAGATACGACATAAAGCAGCGTCGTCCGTAGTGCTCAAGGTTACCTGCGTAAGGAAAACATCGAGATGTTCATCAGGGTCAGTGGTACCATCATACTTATCGATAGGTAAAGATTTCCAATTGTCCATCAAAGAGAGTTGCATGATGGATGAAGTGAATGGGTGTCGGTGCGATCCGATAGTTGCCAAATCTGTGGGTCGGCCTACTGTTGGTATGACCGAAGGGAATTTTTGAGGTGCCACCGCCGAGGCATGAGGGGCCGAGGTGTGTACTGCCTGGGATTGATATGACCCCTGGGTTTGCGTGTTAGTGGCCTGAGTAGGTTTCCACGATGAATCTTGATTTCTCAACGCCTCATTCTCGGCTCTCAAGGCTGAAAGCTCCCTCGCATCCTTTTCTCGCTGCTGCTTCATTTTCTCCATCTCTCGCTTCATCAGACGAACAGTCTCCGAAAGATCAGTTTCATCTACCACTTCCACGTGCTCTTCTTCTTCGGTTTGATGTTCTTCCATGTTCGTTCTCCTAGTTATCGCCATTGCTTTCGCTCAGTTGATCTTTTAGAATCGTTTCGGTTCGGCCCCACGGTGGGCGCCAAAATGTACCTGTCTAAAGGATACACCAATAATCCTCTCGTATTCTGAGGGCCGAACGAGTGCTCCGATCCAATATTCCGGTGTGGGGGAGGTACCTGCAAAAGGCACTCCGACGCTCAAGTCAGGACAAAGCGCAGATATCGATAGCAATTAATGAACAGTGACCTTACCTCGTGACAAGAGCTATTTATACTGACATTTATGGGCCCGGACTTCCATGGGCCCTGTAACAAGATTACCAGATTAGGTAATACGCTCCTAATCGGCTTACGGGTATGCTTAACCCTTAATCCTTAATTATGGGTACATTCTTACCTCTATTAGTAGGAATCTGAGTTCATAGATCACCTGGTAGCCGAACGGCATTCGGCCACCTGGTTCGGTCATTCAGGTGCTGATTGGGTGTCGGCTATCAGGTGGCCGAGTGACCGAACCAGGTGGCCGAATGGCCTTACTAGTACAAAAGTTGACACTAATATTTGACGACTAGATAAAACAAGTTCCACTATTAATCAATGGTGTTCTCCCTTTACTTCCTAAAAACAACAAACCACAATCAACGTTGTAAACCATCATCACCACCGAAAACAAGGCATTACAAGCACCCAAACATCATGAAGAACAAGAAAAAAGATAGGGAAGAAAAAGGAGAAAGGGAAAGGAAGAGGGAGCTTCGATTGCCGTCACCTTCAATGATCTATCACTTGCAACCAATAATCACATATATAATCACAATCAATAAATACGAAGGAGGAAAAAAGTTAAACCAAAAATGAAAATAAAAATAGAGTGATGAAAAAGGAGATGTTAGGAAAAAAGAGGTTTGCAAACTGCTGAGAAAGGATGAGGTTTTCATAAATAAAAAAAAGTCGTCACTTAATCGTTGGCTTGCTCATTGTTCAATTAAGATGGTTATTTTTAAAAAATTATAAAATTGAGTAATTTTTTTCTCATAACAAGTGTCATGTTTAAAAAAAAATCTTAAAATAAATGTCATATTTATTTTTTAATATAATATTAATTTTTTTCATTTATACTCTTTATAATACTCTTTAAAAAGTGATTATTATATCATTATTTCTAATAAAAAGATTTATCATAAGATTAATTTTATAAATTAATATTACCCCTCATCTATTAAAGTTTTTTTTATCTGTGTAAAATAACCTACCACACTTGTTATATGATATAGAAGCAATACATTCCGATGACTTGCTTTTTTTTTTTTTTTTTT